AAACATTTGTCTATGAAGAAAATCTTTCAAAAGTTACTACGTTCATAGCTTATCCTAAAAATCAACAAAAATTATTTTCTATATTTTTAGAAGTACATATAAGCTCTATGTACTTCCATACATAGCGAGGGGTAAATATGTATTAACCGTATTAAGTTAAAATAATTTTATATGTTAAAATTGAAGAAAGTAAAAACATACTAAAATAGTTTTAGAACATCTGTCCGTTAATATAATCCTTTAGAAGTCAACATTTCTACTTCCATAGTACATCCTAAAAAAAAAAAATTTTTTAAACATTTTTACAAGTAGCCTTTATGTAAGCCAGCTAAAGTTTTTGTACAATTCAATACTCTTACGTAAACGGATTTAACATTTCATTTAACTGCTACAAAATCATATAAAATATTACTCCCAAATTTACTGAAAGGAAAAATATATTTTTAAGTCTCTACTATAAAAAGAATAATATTTAAAAATTGTATACTTTATTTAAAGCCAACACTTTTATACAAATGTAAAAAAAACTCTACCGAAAAAATTATTTTATAGTGTTAAAACTGAAATTATATCAGCGCTGGTCATACTTTCAAAATATACTTTTAATAAGTTTTAAATATACAAAGATAAAACGTCAGCAATTATATCTGTCTTACAACATTATTATTTTACTTTATAGCTGCAAAGGTACCAGCGACTTCATTTTATCACTGAAACGCCAATCTTGACAAAAACACCTCCATTGTTGTCAACGATAGTTCCCAAAACGTTTTAACTTTTGACATCTTCAGTGAAGCTTATCAGTTGGAACTTTAAGTATTTGAGATAAACTCCAAAAGCTGACAAGCTAAGTGTCGCATCAGGAGGTAAAATGGGTCGTTTCCCCCTTTTTTCTGGTTTGTAAGATTAAAATTTACTTGTTTTGTAGTATGAATTATTAAGTTTATTTACATAACTGTACATAATTTAACAGGATTTATTCAATGTGGGAAGTTTGAACGAAAAGCAACGAACATTTAATATCATTCTACATTTGTAAAACTACTTTTCAAACAAAGATATACTGCAAAAAAAACTCTTAATGACGTCAAACTCTATATTTTCTGTATTAAAAACCACAAAATTGTTCCTTACTAAAGTATCGTATACTAAAGTCGATTTAAAAAATAATCTTTGTACTTGGGGTTTTCGTCCTAGGACGAAATATGGAATAGTTATAGTAGGGTATGGAATAGTTATTTCACATAACTTAAAGTCAGGCTTAGGGGTTGCGGAATTACCAGTTCGATAAAATCTGTTGGAGATTTAGAGAGATTTGAACCTGGGACCTCAGGAAACAAAGTTGCGCGCTCTACCCTAGACAAGCTTTTTCCCCTTGTTAATATTAACACTGGTATCATTTATAGCTTTCTCTGACAAACCAGTGGTGTCGGGAATCACATTACTGAGCCGGTCTTTAAATTTATCTGAGTGGCTGGTTTTGGTTCTTATTTATTTCAGTTTTTTATTTTTCAATAAACCTCCAAACTGTAAAAGAAAATAGGAACTACTACGCAGAGCTTATCAAAGTTCAAACGATGAAAAGGTAATTTATATTGGACTGATTTAAACTGGGATGAGTTTCGTTACCGTCAGGGGTTCAAAGTAATTACAGGTCCAAACATTATTTAACCTTTTCAAACGAGTCCCAATCCGATATTCTTTTGATCCGATTTAATGAACACGTTTGTAAATCATAACAAGCAATAACAGAATTACGATTGCCGCTGATTATTAAAACGAAAAGTATTTAATATTTTAAGTAACAGAGAATACATTACCCACCTTACCTTACCTTACATTTTAACCACATGTTCCATAAGAAGGTGGGGAAATTATTTTGTTTCTAACGTTTTTAAAACATTATAAAAAAGTACACTAAACGAGAACCAATATTAAAGGCATTTCTTTTAGGTTTGGTTTAATATAAATTTAGGATCATGGCTATTGTTAAATATATGTGACAACCACAATAAAATAATACCCCCGTCGCAGCAAACCTGCATACTAAGCGAATTTCCATTTACCCAGCTTGATTTCTACTAAAATATTCCCTATAAATTTTCAGATTTATTTCCTATTTAAATAACATTAATTTTAGTGAGTAGTTAGGTTTGCTGCTACGGGGAAGATGTTGAGGTGTGTTTTTTCAATTGAAATATTGATAGCTTAGTATGAAATAAACCAAATTGCCAAATTTGATTAAAATATATCCATAAACAAGCAAACTAGAACAGTTTATTTATTCTCCATAAGAATAACATGGGAATTTTAAATTTACAATTTTTTTAATTTTCTCCGTTGTCAATGAACATTCAAAAACACTTCAATATACTAAATTATTTGTTTTTTTAAGCTCTTCAAAATGGTCTAGAGAGAAATTTAGAAATTTAAAGTTTTTAGGGTCAAAAATGAGAAAAACCCATTTTTACCCCATAAAACCCCCCATAAACCCCTGATCCCATGGTCCGATTATGCTGGTTCGCGAACTCGTTCGAATAAATGTAGGTTTACACGTTTGTACCAAATTTCATCAAAATCGGATCAATTTTGCTCGAGTTATCGCGCTAACGGACACATATATAAATATATATATATATATATATAAATATATATATATATATATAAATATATATATATATATATGAATTTGAACGGATGGTGTTTTTGGCCTCTGGGGACCTCAAAACGAAAAAGTAAATTGGTCCCGAGTCTAGGTCTTACCATGAGACCTACGGTAATAGCTTATTCCCTATATAGGAAATTCGCTAAAAGGTAATCAATCAAAAAAATTACAAAACAAAATTATTCTCTAATGATTTTAAGATGAATAAAATAATTCTTTGATAATCAAAATGAAATAATAATTTATTTGTAAGATCTTGTATCACAGATTGTAACGAGCATGTAAAAGACTACATAACGCAATGTTTTCATGGGGGTTTTTAAAGGTTAAACAGCTGTGTAAGCGTTGTGTTATGTATGACGTCATCACAAAGGCTACGTCTCACAACACCATTGGTCACTCTGACACAAGGTCTACCACGATGTGAGTTGAATAGTGATCACTGTCTTTGTGTGTAGCTCCTACTCGCAATATAATGAATCCAAAAGTTTACTCAGTTTTAATCGGGTAGGTAAAATGTAGTAGAATACGCATGTATTACACATTTATTAAGTTCGCTTTGTCTTGTCTATGCAATATGGTATCCCTGTCTATTTACAACAATAAAATTGTAAATATATGCTTCTAGTGTTATAAGGCGTATTTTTATTTACTTTTCGTAAATTCAATAACACGTATCATGTTGGTCAAGTTATTTAAAATACCGCATACCCGAGTACTAGAATGCACAATGTAAAAACCACACATGCATGGGTAGTATTTATACATTGAGATTAGAAATAGGTATTTACAATTCCTATCAATCTCAATATATTTGCTTTCCAATTTAAACAAAGCAATAACGTTTTGTTTAAGTATGATATTTCTAAATACAAGTTAAAAAACAATATAAATCTAAGTACACATCATTTGTAATTATGATTAGTTTAAAGCGTATGGAATTTCACTTAAATTCATGTTGATGTTTGGAACTAATGATGTGAAGTAAGACGGATTAAAAAAATCTAATTAACAATGTAATGTACTTGAGTTCGTATAAAGAAGGGAAAATATACAATAGGTTCAATTAAATCTTTATCTTGTGTTTGAATAATGTATACGTTTGCACAGCGTATAATTACGTTGAGCATACAAATAGCTATTTACCGTTCTTAGCCATCTGAATATATTTGTTTTCCAATTTCAACAGGGGGATAAAATGTTTCTTTAAGTAGGATGCTTCTGTGCTTAGGACATAATAATCTAAATCTAATTACACACTATATGAGATTATGCAGAACTTAAAGCGTTCAAATTTCACTTAAGTTCACACCCGATGGATTTAACAATGAACTTATTCCGGATGAATGGTTGGACTAGTTTGCACCTCTGCCTTGCTCAGTTTGCCATGGCAAACGACATCTCTCTAAAGGTCTCGTTATTGGTAACTTGAGCTGATTTCTCCATAACAAGCTGCGTAACTCAATAATCTTTCAGATTTTCACAGTAACTTTATATTCCTATAACAGATTTAATCTCTTTTTACACCAAATATAGTTAAATCTTTGCGATCGTATAAGAATTGAATAATATTTGTGTAAGAAATTTGGAATCAATATGATTTTCGCAAGAGTTTAAACCATCTAGCACTGAATGCCGTTAAATCCATCGGGTGCGAATTTAAGTGAAATTTGAACGCTTTAAGTTCTGCATAATCTCATATAATGCGTAATTAGATTTAGATTATAATGTCCTGAGCGCAGAAGCACCATTCTTGAAGAAACGTCTAACCCCATGTTGAAATTGGAAAACAAATGTATTCAGATGGCTAAGAACGGTAAATAGCCATTTGTATGCTCAGTGTACTTATACGCCGTGCTAAGGTATATGGTATTTCAAACACAAGATAAAGATTTAATTCAACCTATCTTATTTTTCAACATTTATACGCGAAATTACACATTTCATACCTATATAGTCTTACTTTAATTTATTTCTAAACGTCGTTTTGTGCAGCTTGAAATCTTATACTATCCCAAGAGTAATAAACGCTTCAGTATTATGTGACTGTTCTATAACTGAGTTATGTTGTCTTCTAATCCTGAAGGAGACAAAATAACATGTTTGAAAGTTATAAACACACTTTTTAATCCCCGATGTTATTTTATAATTTTGCTCAACGATAAAGAAACAAGCCTGAAATCACAATATAAACCATTTGTTTTCAGAGTCCTAAAATCAGAGTGTGTTCATGCTTAGCCTTTACTTTTACCTTAAGTAAATTTTCAAGCTTTTGACTTAAAACTGACACTAAGATATAAAAACTTCTAAAAATCTCACTCTAATTTTGACTCACCCTGAAGTAGCATGGAGATCAACCTCGGGCCAGCTGAGTCGGCGGCGGCAGAAGGCCACCAGGGGAGGTCTCTCCCGGTGGGACTGTTGACGGAACGACCCAACCCTCCTCGGACCATCCAGGGTACGACGCCTGGGGGGTGTGAGGGCTCCAGGAGGTGGGACTACCTTGGGAAATCCCGGGATTGAGGCCGACCTCGAGCCTAAAACGATAATGCAGGATTAGAGCTTGATATAATGGAATTTCTTAGCTTATGCACAGAGAAGTGTGGTACAGAGGAACCACTCTTATGCGCTTTTGGATCTGGTATATTGTACCGGAATTATGCTTGTGCAAGGAAGAGCAGGAAATGTAGGCACTTTGTAGAAATACCTATCGCACAGAGTCTTTTTCTTCCGTGAGCTTTGTAGTGTCTACCATGAGAGCGAGGGGCGGTGTTGGGCACCCAAGACACCAGCACCAGTGCAAGACACCACTTAAGCGTATCATTGAGGGGTTTATATGTACCTTACGTCTCTGTGTACTTCTCTGTGACGTAGAAACTACATTAATTGTTTGAAACTAGTCAACTTCATCTCATCAAAATGTTAACTAACACAATATTCCACAATTAGTGATCTTTGATACACAAAAATATATTTTACAAATGTATTCAAGAACCAAAAATAAGTGCTTGTTTATTGAAATGTTGCAGTTTTCCTAATTTTAGAGAATATCTCAGCTTAACTTATAAAGGGTACAGTCCCACAGTCCGTTAAGATGTTGATACAATAAATTGTACATACCTCCATCAAATAGTCCAACGATTAATATTGCTCATCAGCTACAAACTATGAGCTAAGCAATATTAATCGTTGGACTATTTGACAGAGGTTTGTAAAACATGAATTTTGAGATATTTATTTCTAATATTTTATCCGATAATATAGGTTCTTGTGGAACTTTACCCCTTGTAAAACCCAATACATCAAATAACTTCAACTATATTATACAGGCTGTCCCAAAAGACCGGTTTAATATTTTCTAAACGACAACAGATAAATCAATAAGATTTTGCACATCAACACCACACTTAAAAATCTACTTTTTTAAGGAACTATCAATTTTCTGTCATGTCATGGGGACGTCCCGCAAGGAGTCAGAAGGAAATCTTAAATAGAAGCATAGGTTGACATGCACATCAAATTAAAGGCCTTAACTAGTAGATTACAATGCCGTAAATTCAAGCTCAAAAGAACGCCTGAGAAAAAAATGGCAGCCGTTCAAAGATTTCTTGAACCTGCCATTTTGAATCTTTGAACGACTGCCATTTATTACTGAGGCGTTCTTTTGAGCTTGAATTTACGGCATTGTAATCTACTAGTGAAGACCTTTAATTTGATGTGCATATCGACCTATGCTTACGTTAACAATTTTTTTCCGATTCCTAGGGCTGTGCCCCCAAATGCAAATTGAATGAATCTTTGAACCACTGTCATTCTTGACTTGGTTGTCCGTTTGAGTTCAAATTTGCGGCAATATATTCTGCTAGTAAAGACCTTTAATTTGATGTACATGTCAACCTATGCTTCTATTTAAGATCTCCTTCTGACTCTTTGCGGGACGTCCCCATGATGTGACAGAAAATTGATATTTCTTTAAAAAAGTAGATTTTTAGGTGTGGTGTTGATGTACCAAATCTTATTGATTTATCTGTTGTCGTTTTGAAAATATTAAACCGGTCCGGGACTTTTGGGACAGTCTGTATCCACTTTTATAGCGTTCTCTCACCAGGCCCAGCAGCCTCCTCCACCGGTGCCTCAGTACTCGGTTCTTTGCTGAGGGAGAACCTCTTCGGACTGAGGCTGAGACTCGCCACCCCACTGGTCACCATCTGCTGCAGCGAGTTGAAAAAACTCATCTTGGTCCCCTCCAGGTTACGTCATTAGGGCTCTGCAACAATGGGTCAGCTGTTCAACTTGTTTAGGAAGAGGAGTGTGCTTTACGCACACAGATGGCCAGCCTGTAGTGTGAGACTCGATGAACCAGACTACTCATTAAAAGAACTCTGTGCTGTTAGACACAATCTGTTACTGTTGGTACGACTGATATTCTATAACTGTACTGGGAAATAAAGTGTTGAATGAAGTGGTATTGTAATAAATGGATAATCTGTAGAGGGTGAGGTTCTAGTGTGGAAAGGTAAGATGAATGAGGTTTTACGAGACAAAAACGGATATTAGAACAGAAAATGACATAAAACATTGTCATTTTCTGTTCTAATATCCGTTTTTGTGTCGAGTGACGTCACTGGCCTGAATCTTGTACACAGAAAACATCTGGCTTAGACGTTTTATGGCAGTTCCATTTAAATAATACTACCAAAATTTTTATTTAGAGCCTATTGCATTTATTGAATGATTTTTGGGTAATTTAAATATCAAATTGGGATTATATGGAGATCAGGCATTATTTCTCACTATAAAATAAGAATAACCACAATGTACTGTATCATAAACCCATACTTTTCCCATTTCGCAACAATATGAAACTGCAAAGCAGTCTACTTGTGGCAGATACGGCGGGAACGTGATGACGTACTTCCGGCGAGTGAATTCACACTTCCGATTCACTTCCGGTTCTTTTACACGACAGCGAGGTGATCAAACCGTGCTTTCATCGAATGATGGTAAAATACTCTCTTAAACGCATTACTCCTGTGAAAGTCAAGTGAACACCTAGTACAGTCCTTTGTAAAATGTGGATTACTTATGAAAATCATTGAATGGAATTTATATCAGGAACTGGAGTTCGTATAGGTTATGACTGATAAAGGTTTTAATACTAGTATCTTAAGCTCAATTTGAAGGGAAAACTTAACCCGAAAAAAACTAGGAATTTCAAAAGAAATTCAGTTATTTACCAAAATGTGTTCTACATTTCTTCCTGAACATTTTGATGTATGACACAAAATAAAAGTATTTTTGATGCGGTGTTATTCTAAAAGTTAAGTTAGTGCTACACTGTTTTTCACATCTTATACATCGATGGTGGTGACAGAGGGCCCCGTTTGCCGTGATTTGACTTTTTTATTGTTTTGTAAACTAAGAAAAGTGAACTCAAGTTGTGTAGTAGGTAGAGTCTTAATTTTCTTTTTATTTGAAAGCTTGTAACCATAGCTAAAATCTGTAGCATGGGTTTTATAAAAATAACACTATAGCTATTTTCAAAATGTTTATAAAAAACAAATTTAAAATTTTTGTTTTTGAAACAAAAACTTATAATTCTTATAGTATTTATATTTTTTATCCCATGATACAGTTTGTAGGTAAAACTATAATATTTAAAGTAAAACCAAAGTCTGTTCCTGTGAATTCCCATTTTAAACGATCTGGAGTCTGCCAACTTGGAAAAATGTTTATAAATATTTGTGTTTTTTTGTGTTCTGTTTAAACAATAACAATAAACAAATTTTATATATGTAATTGAATATTTTCGTTATTTTGGTGGAGTTCCCCATTTTGTTGCTAGGTTTTTTAACGTTGTAAAATTATATACATAGGCCTACTGTAGTGTAATATGCATTTTGTAAACAATTTGCAATTATAACAACTATAGTAGATGAGTGAATATGTAATCAGTAGAAAGAAAGAGTAGTTCGATAATTTGCCTACACATTCCATTGTAGCATACATTATATTATTTACTTTTAAGTAGAAGGTTTTATTAAGAAAACCTATACATTAAATTGATGTTTCTTATTTAAATTGCTTATGCATAAGATACATTATTAAAAATGAAAACCAACATTTTGAAGCACAAAGAACTATGTTACGTCGTAGGATGGCTAATTATAATTTGGCTGCATTACCTGAAGGGCTTTTTCTTGATTGTTAATTCACGTCCCATTTCCTCGTTACGTGTTTTTCCTTGTTAAATTTTTTTGCATATTTTTGCAAAACACGTGTTTTATTTCGTTATATCCGCAACACCTGGTGAGGTCAGGTTAGGGTCATGAACATTTGTACAAAAAAAAAACAATTTCACTTAAAATATTTGGTTACTATGCCTAGCCTAATGCAAACTCATTTCGTAGTAAATTTTGTGAAGGAATAATTTTGATTCCGTGGAATCAAATGGACGAGACATCTCAGGAACTATCGACGATCAAGGAGATTGGTCAGGCAATATTGCCAATCTCCGGAAACGATAAGATGGGACAGCGGGATTTGTAGAAGAGGAAAACAGTCGTACCAACTTTGTGACACTTCACAGCTGCTATATTTCGTCGTACGTAAGATATTTCACCTATATTATTTCTCTGTCCTTATACAAATTGTGTATTGTGTTTTTGTTTATCTCATTTAGAATTTAAAGATTTTATGGCTTTTACTGGATAGAGACTTTCAAAAGAAAACATTATTGAACACCTGATATAGTATTTTCCACAACGACCGAGTTAAGACTATTTAAGTGAGCTGCGTACACTTTTTTACCTATGACCATTTCTTAATTACTAACAATCACTACTCATAACTTCTACAAGAGGTTATGTTTTCATATTATCCTCACATTACCACTGACAGTGATGCAATGAAACATTTTACCAAATACTAATTGCATCAATCGTTATCAATTAAATTGGTAAACAGCTGATTAGCTGAAGTTCGAAGTATTTCGATTAATTGTACTTCTCCTCTCTAAATCCCTCGAGCCTCATTGGTCCATTTAACTGTGTTGTTAAAACTATGCTGTTATAAGTAAACAATGCTCTTATGTGAAACTTTTCAATTCTAAGAACTAAACTGAAACGGCTACTTTAAAAAACGGTCGTAGGTAAAATTATTTTGGTGCACTCCTCTACAGGAATGAATTTGTTAAAGCAGGTTTATAGTTGAACCTTACTTTCAGGCTCTATTCACATTTTAACAAATGTTCTTCACAAGCAAATGCGTTATATAGTTGTCATAATAGCTGACCTCCATACAAAATACATACAACACATATTTGTTCCTGATAATTAAACTTGTATTTTGGTAAATTTTTCTAGTTATTACTTCAATCCTCCTGGTTAAACCTTGACCCAGGACCACATCACATTTTTGCACTGAGAGACACAAGCAAAATACACCGTTCTTTCCAAATTACCATTTCCAATCAAAACGGTGACTACTAAATGCGTATTGAAAAAAAAAACATTTTAAGGATGATTTTGTAGTGAGATTGTGTAGCTTTTTCACTGACCAAAATCAGCTGTGTCATTTATTAAAAGCCCAATTATATGATCGAAGACAGCTGGGTCCAGTTTCCAACCATCAAAAAGCTACTAACCTTTCTCAGGATCGAACCGGTGACTTTTTGATCACAAGGCAAGGACTATAACCACTCACCTACCCAGCAAAACTTACACATATTTTTGATGATAAGTTAAATATTGAAAATTACTAGTTGCACTTATGTCTTTATTTAAATTTATTTATGTCTTTACTCTGGTCCAAACTGTAAAATTTAATAAACATTACGATATTTTGTTTTTCATTGCCATAAAGCTAAATATTATTCAGCTAATGCTATTTTAACTTGCCAAAGGTGTGACATTAAATAGCCGTTATTTCTAGTTAGGCTTTTTGGATAAATATATAATACAGCAGTTAGTAAAGGATTGTTATCTGTTTAAAAAAGAAAGAGTGTAGGTTTCTTAGCCAACGAAAAGATACATCATTGTAATGATAAATATCTATAAAAAGCATTCGGAGGATCTAAAATTATATAAATAAATTAAACGGATTCAAGAGTCCAAATACCCATTAACTAAGGTAAATAGTAAACCTTCATAAATGTTAAGATTGTTACAAAATTTGTATATAACATTTGCTTATTAAATTCAACTAAAACACACTTTTTACAGTCAGTTATTTTGGAAGTTCGGTGTATTTTCAGCCAACACTTGGCCAATATGGGAATAGTGGAGTGTCAGTGAAATTGGTTTTGCTAGCCACATGTTTGAGTGTCTACTCTCCTGTGTTAGAGTTTTCAGATGAAACAAATCTAATTTAAAAAAAATTATTAAGGAAATGGTTTTGAAATACTGTGTCCTCTTTTGGAAATTACTCGATTGATTCGAATTAAATCTATATGAATATTTGTATGCATTACGGAAACCATAACCAAGATATATGAAGTCAAACAGCTATTTTTTTACATGATGTCACTGTAGTGTTGCCTTTTTTTACTTTTTAACTAATGTACAGTGCATTTGTGCTTATTTGACAATGTTGTTGTATAGGTTTTTTATTGTGTATATTCTCTCTTATGTTCGTCTCTCCATATATAACTCTTATTTACTATCTAGTGTTTGTTTTATACGTCGTCAAAAATGAAGCATGAATAATTTCCGTTAAGTTGGTGTAATGATTATGTTTCACTGTAGGAAAATTATTTTCAACTAAACGGAATAGAAGTCTAACTCAATCACACTGAGCATAAAAAGGCCAAGTGTTTTTTATTTCATAAACAAATTAAAGAATTTGCTAAAAACTGTATTCATTGTAATTTCGAAACGTATACCCTTTTCCCTAGGTATTAACAATAGAAACTACTATAGGTACTACAAAAGATACATCCCCAATAACAATAGTCCGTTGTATTACAGTTGTTATTGTTCTCAAAACAATACTCAAGGTAGAGAATCCTGAACTCCCAACTGTTGTTCTCTAGCGATTTGTTGTTTTTTTTTACAACAAATCTTTTCTTACCATAAAAGGAACAATGGATGTATAAAACATACAGTATGTCTATATTTGTTTTGTATAAGAATTGTTTTTCAAATAATCAGTATTGTATGCATGCTAGATTTCTTCATATGTATTTAGATGCAAATATAAATATCGTGAGAAACAGAGAAAATGTTCTATAAGAGTTATATCGTTGTACAGTCTGAAAAGTAAATAATG